CCCCCCCCCCCCCCCCCCCCAAAAAAAAAAAAAAAAGTCTATGTGTTTTTCTTGTGTATTTTACAAACACTGTGAGTCTTGCTTGAACAGTTTCATTGCATTGTTGGAACTTCATCAGTGAAAATATCTGGCCTGAACTTCAGTAGCTCCAGGCACTTTACAAACCACAGAATAATCCTCATTTGTGTGCTTCTAGTCTTTGAACTAAAAAATGCTCACTTATTGCAGCTAGCCACGACACACAGAACCAAGGCACAGCATGAAGAAAAACTTCATGCACACAGAAGTTGGGCACATGGACATAAATTTTTTTTTACCCAGTTCTTAAATGTCAGCTAGAGCTCCAAGTTCAACTCTCCTACAAAGCTGAATTTATTCACTTAATTCACAGGACTCACTTACTTTATTTGATCTTTTTTGTGAGGGAAATGGGTTTAGAGCACCTAGGCTGGCTACTTGCTTCAGCCATTACCAGAATTGTTAATACCTTGCTAGAAAAATAAAAATATATGAGAAGCAACCAGTATTTCCTTAGGCAAATGCTGCTCCACATCGGAGAACCAACTATGGCCTTGCTGGCATCATCTAACCCCAGTGAAAATGCTGATGGTCCCCCTGGTACTGCCTTGGAGAAGCCCATGTTATAAACTATTGCCTTGAGGCACCCAAGAAGACAAGACAAACATATATATTAATCAGAACAACATACCAAAGTTTATTGATTACTTCAAATAAAAGTTTCTGTAATGAAAAAAGAGCAAATTGCATTCATAAAAGGTAACATTCACATTCAATTTCCTTTATATAAAGCAACATAAATGTATAAAATTGCATTTAAGTGAAAAAAATGTAAGGTTGCAGTCCTTTTTTTCTTTTTTTTTTTTCCCAAGAAGCTGAAAATGTATCTTCTCATTGCCTGTATATAATTTACACTTTCTATATACTACATGGTTTTAAAAAAAAAATATCCATAGCTGGGAAACTGGATAAATGGTGCAGTATTAGGTAAGTTTTTCAACTGTGTGCATACAAATTCAATTTTAAGTTTTTATGCAATTCCAAGTAATTTAGAATATTCTCATAATGATTAGGATTAGTTTTTGAAAAGTAGCTATGACTACACCAAGTTCCTCCATTATCACATAAGTTTTAGAGGGAATCTTAATTACTTTTCTTATCTTTCAGTGTCACTAGCCAGTGATTAAACTTCAACGAATTGTTATGAAAACACCCCAGCCTTTTTTCCTTCAAGTTTTTCCACCGATAAGCCTGTACTGACCTTTTAGCTCGCTAACGAGCGCTGTAACACTGCAGCGTGTATTATGGTACATGAACAACAATCACAGCATCACTGTCTGATTTCTGCCACTTCAGCATCCTGCTGGCTTAAACCTTAGTTACTGTCACCGCTTTTTCTTCCCTTCTCTAACTCCAAAAGGAGTCTCCTTCCCTTGATTTTACAAGTCACTCGCAGCAACAGGAATTTCACTCCCGTTACTGCTGAATGACGAGCATCAGCTCTTCTTGCATTCCCCAGCACTACACCAGTGCACTAGCTGAAGATCCAAGCCCGAGAAAACCTGCATTTTCCCAAAGAACTGCTATTCAAGACGTTTCACATTAATTCCAAGCCGCTTTTTAGCACATCTGCCTTAGGTTTGAACGTACAACTATTGCAGTGGCTTGCTCCACCCTGAGACAGGACACTTGGAAACGGGAAGAAAAAGATTTGGTTCTTAGAAGGTTCCATCTTAAAACAGGCTGCAGAAATTAGCCCATTTAAGTGGCTTTATTCAGACAGTTCACACATACATGGCAAGCTTCACTGTTCCCACTCATGTCACCACCAAAACCTCCAGCTTAACTTCATGGGAACAGAACATTGACCCCAGGAGTAGGGTATGACACAAAACAAACTGAGAAGCAAGGTGTCAGGCTTGGGACCATTCGGGCTTGGAATGGATTTGAATCACAGGAATTAGGCATTTCAACACCTGTTTAATGTTATGTAAACACAAGTCAGCAACTGTATATTTAAGGAGAAAGGTTAGATTTGGCATATAGAGCGTATCTTCGTTGTATTCATCGCATACTTGATCTGTAGGCACCACATTTTAGCAAGGAAAGTTGAGAATGGGACAAGGTCTGCAAGCTGAATTCTAGGTCTGTGAAATGAGCTAGGAAAAGTTTAAAAAAAAGAAGAAAAAAAAAAAGCTTTGCCCATGGGACACATGCTGGAAGTGCAGCTCCTTACTTGCATGCAGCAAGGAGTCGAGCCGCGGTTGCGAACACGGTGCTAACGAACACCACTTGTGCTGAGGCCAGTGCAGCGTGTGTAATACAGTGGTCCTGTCCACACCTCCCCTCCCCTGCTGGGTGATGTAACAGCAGCCACCAGCACCAGGGACCGTGCACACCCCTCCTTCGCTCAGGTAAGGCCCGTGGCAGTCCTTACGACACACGCCTGAACCTGCCTGCAGCTGATTCGCATCCTGCTTCCACCAGCGAAGACAGACCTCAGGGGTGGCAGCCAGAGAGCAAGACTCCATTCTTCCAAAAATTAAGTCCACCATTCAGTAAAGTTTGATGAAGGGAATGTTTTGTCTAGTCCCATATTATTTCTTTGCATGTAAGTGACACAAAGCCTGAGCAAGCAGGAGCCAAACCCAGCCGCAGCGTGGAGCTTGTTACTTCTGAACTGAGACTTGAACGCAGAGGGCCAGGGCCAGGCAGCACAAGGAGGGACCTTCACGCCAAACAGCGGTGGCACAGAGGGTGCTCTGTCACTGCTTACAACGTAACACAACAAAAAAAAGCTGCTTTTTCCACATATGAAGTATCAGAGAAAAAAAAAAAAAAAGTATCGAGTCAGGCAGCTCACCTCTGCTGCACACAACCTAAAGAGGAAAGTTCCCATGACCATGGTACAGGTAGATTTAAAAAGAACATGCCAATTTAAAAACCAAATAAAGTGTAAAATGAAATCAGGTTCATGTATTCCTTTATTTTTAAACCGGCTTCTTGTTTCTTAGTGCAAATATCTCAAGATGCAGTTTTATATGCCTGCAAGTTTACAGGCACAGCCCGTGTCCCTGGGATCATCCAAGGACCGCACTGTCACTCAGGCCTTTAAAGTATCGAAGGAACTGCACCGTGCAGCAACGCAAGCACAACCACAGGAACCCGGGCAAAACAGCTGAAAGTCTGGCACAGCCCAACTTCTGAGATTCTTTCCTCCCCCACGAAAGCTTCCTTCCATCACAAACAGTCACAACACGAGGAAAAAAATGACCTTTTCTTCACCCTCCGCCAGGAATAAACCCAACAGCAAACCAGCCACGAGAGGATGCTCGGGTGCTTCCCAGCACCACGTGTCTCTGTGCGGATCCCAGCCATATCCAGAGGGGGACAGGCGACTGAACTTTGCACCATCCGTGAAGTTTTCTCCCGAGTTTTCAAGTATTTCTGCCACATACAACCCATGGCTGGGAGGGGGCAGCCCCCCGCCGAGGGCTCACAGCCCCAGCACCAGGTGAGATGCTCATAGGGCTGCATCCAGCTTCTTCATGACGGCAACAGGCTCTCCCCAGGGCCTTCGGGATGCCGGAGGGGGATGTTATTGGGTTTAAAGTCTGTGCTACTTCTTTGGTCAGGCAGAGCGAGAGACTTCAGCAGCTCTCTGCTGCTCTCGAACAGATCTGCTGCGGGCAGAGGAAGCCCCCGTGTGAAACGGGGCTGGCATTGCTCTCTTGCACTTCAATTCATGCTGTTTTGGATGAATTCCTAAAGATGCTTTCTCAGCCTCCAATGATGTAGAATTTGGCAGAACTTTTTTTGGGGGGAGAGGAGAAGCCACAAGCCCAAAGACAAACAGGTACCATGGGGCCAGCGCCCTGGCTACTGCTGTATCAGCGTGGCAGCTTACCGGTCTTGGTATTAAACAGAACTGTTAGGTTAAAACCATGTTTTTTTTCCTACAGCATGACAATACGCAGTGTTTGTACGGAGCACATTAAAGTATCCTGAGAGGATATCTTTCTGCCAAATTAGTAACAGCATCTTCAGTCTTCGCATAACCATTCTCTATACGTTTGTATGAGACTAACATAGGCAGATCAAAGGGGGCAGTCTGCAAAAATCAGAAGGAAAATGCACAAGTATTGCAACTGTTACATTCCCAAACTCATCAAGCTTTTCTCTGTTGCTTTTTGAAAAAATACTCCACATTTTACAGAATGATTAGACCATGATAAAAGTGCCAAATCTCATTCACAACCAAGGAATGAGTAATAAGATAGTAAATTAATTTGCCCAATCTGCAAAATGCTGTATAAAGTCTAAAGGTGGTATCTGCCTCGCTGTCTCCTGCGGCTCCCATTCTGCCCCAGTCCAGCCGCCTGCCGCACCAGTCTGCACCAGTATCTGGTAGTGGAGAGCACCACCTAACGTCTGCGGGGAAGGAAGGGCCGCTCCGCTTGCCAGCAATGCTCGGGCAAGCAGGAACATAGATTTATGACAGACGCATTTGGAGCTCTGGAAAGCCTGGCTGTTGGACCTGCCCTTCCGATTAAACTGATTTTTTAGAAGCAGGTGTGGGTACAATGATAGGTTTGCAGAAAATTTGCAGTTTTATGTTGGCAACGGACACCACACAGCTATGTAATAGGTGAAATTGTGAATTCAATTAGGCACTTTTGCTTTTTTTATTCTGCTATCGGCTTACTACAACATTTAAAATCAAGTAAACTTACACTAGGATGCTCCTTGGGTGCATATATAGATATGGACATGGAGACACGCCTGCCCTACCATATGTTGACATACATAAACAAATACATGTGTTTAGTTTCAGTCTAGGCAGATGAATTAAGATGTACTTATTTCTATTTGACAGAACAGCATGCACCCTAGAAAAAGAGATTTTGGTACAACTCAGATGCAATACTGGAATCATTTTAACAGCTGAGATTTGAACACTGTAAATACATCAGTGTTAGCATTTATAACCGCTGTTAGCACAATTCACTGCATTCTCACATTAAAGTTTTTGGTAATATTAGACTAAAGTATAAGTTACATTGAAAAAATTGTTTACATATTGCAAAATGTTTCAGTTTGAGAGGATCCGCACACATATGGGATTCTGAAGTGGCTGGAGGGGACAACATCCCCAAATTAAAATGCATCCCAAGCATTGCATCTCCATTCCACAAGGACAGGTGCCCCACACCGATAGTCAAGAGGATTACAAGAACCATAGTTTAATTGATTGCGGGGGTAGGGGTGTTACATTTGGTTAATCAATGCCTTTTAAAACCATCCCAACTCCTTCGGACAGGGTACCTGTTACAACACATTAGACTCATCTGAGAATGTTCTTAAAAGTAGTGGTCTGACAGAAGGTCTGGCCGACAATGAATCAGGTGCCTTCCTGCTGCGCTGCAACAGCGAGGCAAAGAGACTTATAGCACACGTGACACTTGTCCCTGCCTAATGGTCAAATAATGTAAGACACACACGCACACACCCCCTTTTCCAGCTAAGTCATACCATAAGGGATGTAGCCATACATGCTCCCTAAATACCACAGTGATTAATAGTGGCTGGGCTTTGCAGTGCAAGAGGCACAGAGGATATTCAGAAACTAGCCCTGCTACCTGAAATGGTTAACTTCAGGCTTGGGGGTTTATGCTACAGGTGCTTTGGAGGAAAAAACCATCCTTGATCTTCACGCAACTGGTATTTTTAAAATAGCAAGTAATACTGGAGATCTGCAGCGAAGTCAAATGCTAGGAACATGTTTTCAAGGCACTCTGCTGTGGGGTAGGGGGTAGCCCCACCATCTCCATGTGCAGCAAGTCCACGACTACCCCTTGTTGTGAGGGTTGAGTGCAGTGGGTTATTCACTTGTACAACCGTAGCACTAACAAGTGGGATGGACTGGGCAAGACAGGCACCTGGGGAGCTCCTCCTAGAAAAAATGAGCCAGAGCGATTTGCCAGCTCATCCAAACAACAATCAAAATCAAGTGAACTTCGTCACACACTTTAGAAGAGTTTGTATCTAGACCACTAACTGACAAAACTACAGTGGGGAAGGAGAGTGTAACCAACATCAGATGGATTCACCTGACTCGGACACCCTGAGCACGACCAGCTCACCCACCTGAGGCACGGCAGGAGACCAAAGGTAAAAAGACAGATGAAATATTTAAGCAAAAGATTTAAATTAAAGCAAGAAGGGGAGGGGGGGGGGGGGGAAAA